TCGGAGTGCCGCCTCCTTATCCCGAGACAAGTTCCTCCGCTTTTGCTGCGCGTGCTTCTTTTCTTCGTCAATGCTAGGCATCTCCATTGCACACGCGAAGAGCTCGCCAAACTCTCGCAAAAGGGAGATCAACTGTCCTACCATTTCTGAGGGAGTCTCGGTGATACCTTGACCTGTCTCTCGGGGCGCCCTTCTTCTAATGTACCAAAAGGTCATCATCACCCGCTTATGCCCGAGGCGCCTCCTCTGGAACAACGTCCACTGTGTTAATTCTTTGTGTCCTTACTTAGGTGTTTACCCCTCGACTCTCGAGCGTAACGTGGGGCGCTCAGTCCTTGGGCCACTCCTACTCCTTGCGGGGCGATTAACTTTAGGGTTTGATGGCATGTAGACGACACCCCGTTAAATAAGGCTTAAAGCGGTCTACCGAGGATTGCGTTGTATGGGGAGATGAAATCCACAATTCGGAATTCTATGGCATGTGTGACCCTTTGTTCTTCATCTCCCAGGGTTACCGGCAGGTGCACACAGCCAATTACCCTTGCAGCGCCCTGGAAAATCCGATCAGCACCGAATTCGATGATTGTATCAAGTCCGGCGACAACTGCATCTGTGCCACCGTATCTTTGAACAACACGTCCATAGAGCTCCTGGTGTTCACGAGCATCCTTTTTACCTTGCACCCCGCAATCATGCCGTGTATCTCCAATGCATCCAAGGTTGGAGCATGCACGCCTCGATACGCATTTGGTTAAAACCGATGTGGATTGCCTCCTTTACGTCACTGAGGCTGCCCTCAATCGGTGATTTGCCTCTAGCTTTTCCCTTAGATCGATCATTCCACAGTAATAGAATCCACTGTGAGTCGTACTCGCTCCGGCTCCTTGTCTTGATCAAGGTTAAATGGAGGTGGGGGAAGCTCCACCATCCTAAACTCTGCTCCTGCGGCATAAGTTATATGCACCCTCTCGTCAGGCTTCTTAACAAAATCATTGAGCATCCCTCTATTCACTGAGCCTTGCAACTTCGTCTTTAATTGGTAGCAGTCAGCGGTATGGTGCCCTCTTTATCGGTGGAAGTTGCAATATCGGTCTAAGTTTCTCTCATTTGGATGTCCCCTCATTGGCCCAGGCCAACGCACATGGAAGCCTTTGTCCTTGACATATTGAAGCACATTCTTTAGTGACTCAACCCAACTATCGCAATAAAATTTCACCTAAGGTCCAAGTATAAACTTAAATGGGTGGAATATAGGGCAAGTATGTTTAAATATTGATCCGGGCCGACCCATGTACCCCTACTTTGATTGTTTGAAACATTATCTAGCGGATTGTTTAGAGAAAATATATACAATCTACTATTGAAAAGCAAGACTTGAAAAGTAAAGTGGTGGAAAACTCTTGGTGAGAAGCTTCACTCGGATGTTGCTTCCCCTAACCAACTACCATGAACCATGAGATCGAATGAATCAGTGGGGGTAAAGGCAATTGTTAGCCGCTAGGAGAGACAACAGTGGTTGGAAACCACCTCTCAATTGCTAGGCCAAGGAAAATATTATAGGCTACAAATATAGCCCTCGTGGGCCAAGCAATAGAGGGTTGCCTTAACTTCTCCCTCAAATCGGGGTTAGGAGCGGCCAAAGCACAATTAACCTAGATGCTTGATTTAAGTTTAGATATTTGCCTACATTAACCTAGTTAGGAGGTATGGAATACCTAGGAAACCCAACTCAATTAGAGTCTCTTTAGAAAAGGGGATTTCCCTCTAAGCTAGGTTAGAATAGCACAATAGATTGCAAGGCACACACAATGCACAATCACCAAGAAAAATACCCCAAATCTCAAATTAAACATCACTCACACACAATCATTCAATTCATACAAGTAGCTTCATGGCATAAGTTAGGGTTCTACAACACCCAAGTGAATAGGAGACTATTCCATGCTAGAAATAGGAAGAACACAAAGGAAAGGGGGAAAAACCTTCATGGATGATGCCTCAATCCTCCTTTGTGCTTGTAGAGATCCTCTCTTGAAGAGTAACTTCCCAGTTCTTAACTTGGAGCAAACCCTAGCCTCTTCTCCCTCTTGGTTTGGGCTCTCCCTTCTTCTTCCCTTCGGCTCTCTATTTATACTCAGATCGCGCCCAATTCACGGTCGTGAACATCGGGCTGCGACCGTGAACTTTGAACAAAACATGTCACTTCACTTATGGGGTTCATAGTACATGGCCCTAGTTCACGGTCTTAGCGACCGTGAACTGCCTCGGCGTCAGTAACCTCTGAAACCCCTTTGGACGCTGCACGGTTCACGGTTTGTGGTTCCACTTCACGGTCATGCCGACCGTGAACTCCAAGCTTTGACCTTGAATTGCGGCTGAAAACTCCTCTTTGCCTGGTCATTGCTTCTTTTCTTCGAACTTTCGACTCCAGGGTTGGTTTCACCTGTTGGACTCTGAAATACATTGAAACACAAGAAACCTAGCGTAACACCACCCTTTTTGGAGCTCAATTGCCACAAATGTCAAAGAGAAACGGGGATAAAAAGTGTACATTTAGACCCGAATCATTCAGCGTATTGCTAAACTCCGTGAAAGAGCCGGCTCCCCGGGGCGATGCGCGCCCTGCCCCCATCCTTCTTGATGGCGCGAAGTGGGAGGACGTATATGTTGGCCCTGGTGCGGTCACCTGCTTTCGCGAAGCCTCACCTTCGTCTCCTCTCACCCGACGCCTATCTGCCCTTCTCGTCGCCAATGTATCTTCCAACATAATCATCTTTTGCATCCTGTTATCTAAATCCTCTGTCCACACCACATCCCTCTTCGCCAATGCTCCGCAAAGCTCCTCGCTAGTTGTGCATTCTTCCAGGCAACACCCCAACACGGGCGGCTTAACATCATTGACCGCCATGGCCACTGAAATCCACCTCTCGTAGAACTCTCTTAGGGTCTCTCCCTCCTTTTGCTTGATTTTGAAAAGGGTGCCTATGGTCAAGGTGCGACGCTTCCTACTAGCAAACTTCACCAAAAGCATCGCAAAAAATTCTTCAAAGCACTCTATACGTCCTTCCTCGATATGATGGTAGTAATCGAGCACTATCCCTACAAAAGTCGACGGGAACACCTTGCACAAAGTCGCATCCGAGTTGTTGTACCATCGCATCTTCGTGAAGTAGCCATTAAGATGGTCGTCCGGATCTGCTGTCCCATCTAAGTTGGGAGTGGTGGTATGTTAGTTCCAGCCTGCTCCATCAACACATTCCTCGCCAAGGGTTGCCTACCAGTGAAGTGTCGGGGTAGGCGCATGGACGACCACCTGTTTCGCCCTTCAAATTCTGAGCTTGGGTGATCATTTGGATGCCACATGAACGTGGGGAACCTAGGATGGCCGGACTCCCCTTCCATCTCTGCAGTCCTTTCCTTTTTCCTCGTCGCCGGGCTAGGGGCTAATCCCTCTCCCTTCTTCAGTGCCTCCACTTCTCGCTTGAGAATTTCAATCACTTCATCCTGGCCCTCGATGATCTTGAACAGATCTCTCTTGGTGATCGAGGCACCTTCTGAATAAAGGTTCCTTGACTCACTCCCTTCTCCCTCAGTCACGTTAGGCGTCTGCTTCCTCGACCCTTGGGACAGATCCCCCCTAACCTGTTCCCCATCTCCACTTCCGGGCGCTTCCATTTTCGTAGTTATCGGCTGCTCCCCCTTCTTGGCGCGCCAATTGTTTGTACCCGAATACCTTAAGCGTCAATTGTTTGTACCCGAATACCTTAAGAGCCTTATCTTCCTTACTCTCGAACCTTGCTTATCTTTCCGCAGACGCCTCCCCTACACGCACGCAGAGGGAGGCGCACGGGCCCGTTAATCCTCCGACGATCAAGTTAGTCCAGATTCTAGAGAGAGAAGTGTCTGATCCCAGTTTTGTGAGATAGTCCAACCTGCATAAATGCTACCTACCGACACTATCTATACTCACCCTACCCTGGACAGGCCTCCTTCAATTCAGCCCCACGTCGGCGTTGCAATTAATGTTCTATACTTCTGTCATACTAGGTGTCCCGACCAGCGTGCCAGTCTTTCTGACAGGTGTCAGGCACCCCGTAGGGGGACCACTGATAATTCGTACTTCTTTGAAGCCTAACGAGTTTTGTCTTCAAGCACCCTTATTTTCTGCTCGGACCAGGCCCATTAGGCTTATTTTATGATGATGCCCCTCTCTTTCCTAAGGGGTTGCATTAGTCCTTTATTTGAGCATATCATTTTGTAGTACCCCCCATCATTAACAATCACAAGTACCTAAGAATAAACATTTTAAAATATATTTTCAACAATCCAAAGAGTTAGAATCTTTAGATTGTTGACAATCTGTGGATTTAAACTCATATTCTCCAAACCAACTCGACACTATTTATACTCACTCTATCCTGGATCGGGCTCGTTCATTTCAGCCCCACATCAGTGTAGCATTTAATGTTCCGTACTTTTGTCATACTAGGCGCCCCGACCAGCGTGTCAGTCTTTCTGACAGATGTCAAGCGCCCCATGGGGGGACCACTGACAATCCGGACTTCTTTGAAGCCTAGCGAATTTTGTCTTCAAACACCGTTATCTGTAGATTATTGACAATATGTAGATTTGCTCATATTCTCCAAACCAAACCACCCACTTTACGGCCAGAGCTACATACTTTTCTTTTTTTTTATGATTACCACAACGGTAACAACAATTTAGATGAACGGCAGACCTTATCTGAGTATCTTTCATTTTACCCATCAACAACGGGTGTTGGTTTGTTTCGTTATGACACCACAGTTAGTTCCCAATTCACCGTTTCTTCTGCGAGAGGGTAATTTACTAACTTATCATATAATCCACCGTTTGAAACGAAGAATTTCGTCAGCAGGCTGTAAGCCTATCTGTTTATCAGTCGGAGACACGTCGCTACAGCATTTTACGTTATCCATTTCCAACTCCCGCAGCGTAATTTAATCCCCCCTCACAAATACCCACGCGCTCTACCACTGGCTCTGGCTAGCGGCGTCCTTTTTACTCGCGAAGGATAAGGTCCCACGTCATCACTCCCTCCTTCAAAACCAAAGCGCGTATTCAGCACGCTCCAAACGGCCCCACCAGAACTCGTTTTTACAGATAAAACCACTCCTCTTCTCAACTCTTCCAAAATAATTCTCCCCCAACTGTTTTCTCTGTACCGGAAGAAAAGAAAAGAAAAGAAGAGAAAATTCCTTCTCTCCTCTCCTCTGCTCTCGTCTCGTCGTCTGTAAATTTTCCTGGCAAACAAACAAACTCTCGCCTATCGTAACAATCCATATGTTCTGCAGGGTGTTAGTTTGAAAGAAATCTCTCTGCACCAATCCAACGCAGCTCCCTTTAGATAAATAGAAACTTCTCTTCCCCTTCCCCTCCTCGGTGTTTATCCAGTAGCCTCGATTTGAGCAAACAAAATTCCACTTTGGGCGGCGGATTACGTTTTCTGGATCTGGATTTTGATCTTTCCTACCCTCCAATTTTCTTTTTCCTCCTTCCCGGAGCTTGAAATTTTAGCAGAAAGAAAAAGATGATGAGAAGGCAGCAGCAGCAGCAAGATCAGCACTCGCGTGTTTTCTTCGAGCTATCCACTCTGGTCTTCAACTTGCTTCGTTCCCCACCGACGCCGATCCCCTTCTCCGACCACTTCCCGACCCCTGCGCCGCCAGCTGTTTCCTCTTCGTCCAGCAGTCGGAGGTCGTCGCAGTTGTCGGCGGCGCAGATCACGCCGGCGGGGTTCGCGTCGCTGCTACTGGGCGTCTCCCTGTCGCTGATGCTATGCGGATCCCTGACCTTTTTCATTGGGTTTCTGTTGATGCCCTGGGTGATTGGGCTTGTAATGGTGTTCTATGTGGCCGGGATCGTTTCGATGATCTCCATGTTAGGCCGCTCGCTTCTCTGTTACGCTACCGGGCCATCGCCCTCTCCTGGGAAAGATAGTCCTGGTACGTCTCTCTTTCTTCTCAATCAGACCATCCCTCTGTCTCGCTGAAATGCTTGCTTTGGAAGAATTTTTGGGGGGTTTTGGTTTAGCAGAAACTCTCGAGATCTTGTTCTCTTCTCTTCATTTTAGCTATGTTGTGATTCCTTCGCTGACCGTAGTGAGGCTGATTATTGATTCAGCTGCTTATTACTGTAAAGGATCCAAGATTCAGCTGCTTCTGATAACTTCAAATTGGAAAATGAGTTTTTAGCTTTTTGTTCATCTTCATCGGCCCACTTTAAGTCTGTAGACTTAGGTGATGAATCTTGAGCTGCCGATCTTGTCTTGTAATGGGTTTAGACAGAGTTCTGACAGCTGCAATGGGCAGGATTTGTTCATCTTGTCTAGCAATGGCATATCAGTAATGGGCCAATTATCTTGTGCTTTGTTTATATGTAGCTAGCTGGCTGATAGAGTTGTACGGGTTTGAGAAATACTGGTTATTGTGTTTACTATGTCTATCGCTAGGCAATGAATTGGGATGTTTCAGTTGAATGAATGTTACTGACTATGAGGAAACCTTTTCAAGTGCCTCTCTTGTGCTAGGGCATTTTGAGACTCAGATGCCAGTTGGGTTTCTTGAAATCACAACAAATTGATCATAGTGTTGTGAAATTTGCTTTAAATGCTCTGTTCTCGATGGTCTCTTCTGGGATCACTTGTCTGGTTTCCAGCTTGCTTGAAGCTCTTATTGCATTCATTTCTTCTAAATTCTTTTTCCTGCCTCTGCAGCTTGGAAACTCATGTGAAGGAAGGGGGCAGTCTGGAGACGTGGAGAATTGGGTAGCAGCTGCATATTGAGCTGCGACATAAGTCGTCGACCTGGAAATGGTGCCGCCATTCGAATGAAGAGAACATGTTGGGATCTGAGGAATGAATGCCTTGGCTTTTCTTTTTCTCTCTTGAGTGATTTGATGCAGGAACTGTGGATATCTGTTTTGGTTTCCTGATGCACTGTGGATATAGCTGCTGCTTCATGAATTAGATATAGCGAAAAGAAGGGTTCTTTACGTTTTTTCTTTTCTTAAATGCCCTAGTCAATCAATGTACCTCGAGCTCATAACTTGCCAATCAAAAGTTGGAGGTTTCTCTTATTGTCCTGATATATCGAATGCATTGTTTGTTCCCCAATCAAGTTGAGAATTCATCTTCCCAACTCTATTTTGAATGTGAAATCAGATTCATGAGGTATGATCAACAGATTTTGAATGATTGTTATCCAATCCCTAGAGTCTGTCTTTTCGTGCAATGTAGCTGGCAATCAATTTGGGAGGGAATCCAAGGAGAGAATGATTCAGGGATAAGGATTTGGTATGGAAAAGATATAGGTGCATTTGATATGGTTGATCCTCATGTTCGGTGGATGCATTTCTTGTTGCCTTATAATCAAGTGAATTGTAGACTTGATTGTTGTTTGTATAGGATCACACATAGTTTGGATTACTATAATGGATGGTAAGAGGTATACTAGTAATCGGGAATATTATATAAAATGATGAATTGTGAATTTCGATTTCTCATTTAAAAATGTGGTTTGATTAGTAATTAATGAAAATTATTAAACCATACATAACTGATCAATCCATAAATTCGAGATGAATATAAGAAAATAATGAAATAGTAAAGCGCGTAACTATCGTCTATTTGTGTTAGTCTCTTCATCCTTGTAGTCTCTTGCTAGACCCTTCAAATGTGGGGGGAAACAAGTATATGATTGTTTTTTTTTTTTCTTTTTTGACAATGAACAAGTATATAATTGATGGTGGCGATGGGTCTTCGATCCTTTCCGTAATATTGGTGGACGGAGTGTATAGGCTAACATCACTGCTCGTCTGTCAATCACCTTTTTCCTATTCTGTTATCGCTTTTGTTCCCTTCCTTCCTCAGCTGTTGTCATTTGTTTGGTTTGGTTTTTAGTGCATTTTACATCTTCAATCCAGAAAATCATAAGCTCTCATTTTCCAATATGCCTATCAAATTCTGTGCATTTTGCATCACCTTCTTCACTTTCGAGACGAATAATTTAGTTTAGATTCCACTGTCACCATAGTGGGAAATGATATCTATAAACTATTACCAATCTCATTGTGTCTTTAACAAGGATTAAAATACCGTAACCATAGTTAAATTATGATTTTATCATAAAATACCCTATTGCTGACTTTTTTGGTAGGACCTTCGGTACGATATTTCAATCCTTGTCTTTTAACTTACAATTACCAACTCCAACCTTGGATTAATCATTTACTACCGTATGAAGAAATTGATATTGATGTTATCAACCATTTAAATAAAATATTTACATTAATTTCCTTTTTTTATTTTGTAAGAAACTCCATGTTGTACTCCAACTTTTATCCATTGATAAATTTAGTGACTTCAAATCCCAATACTATCAAAGAATGTGATAAAAAAAACATATATTAATACATAATATAGTGAACAATAGTTTCCAAATTATATGCTTGAACTCTAATACTTCTACTAAGTTATAATTAACTAACATAATCTTGTTGACAAGGAGAAAGTGAAAGAATGAAGGAAGAATTGAGGAGAATGAAATTAGATTTTGATTAGGGTGGCTACTCAATTGCATTTCTACTATTTATTTTTTCGAGTTACCTTCATTATCATTGATAGGTTACAAAATGATCCACATATTATTTTTTATATGTGAAGAAATTTTCTTGATTGGGCGGGTATGAATATGAGTATGGAGCGGGAGAGGCTAAAACCATAACCGCCCCTTATTCATCAAACTTTTTGCGAGTTTTACCTATACCCGCTCCATACCCAAACAAAGTGGAGATTCAACGCGTTAACTGGATCTGGCGCGATCGGATACTCCTAGCCATAGGTTTGATTACCATCCCTACCTATACTAAAGCTCACTTTTTTTATTTAATTGTCATAAAATTAATTTATCACATGAATTCCCCATTTGAATAAATCCATACCCCTTTTCTTAATTACTTAATTCGCTTTTGCCCACTACCCCAAAATCACAAAATGAAGACTGTCTTGATTCTTGAAGCAACAACCTCCAATAATTTATTGGCCGGCTCTCACCCTAGTTGGCTAGTCTCTACTCCTTGGACGATATGGGAATGGGATTTTCCTCCCACTCCCCTGCGTATGCTTCATCTAAAGAATAGATGAGGTTTGGCTCTCTGTTTTTTTTTTTTTTGTTTCAGAATAAAATTTTGTAAGTATCTGAAGGAAAAAGTTATGTGGCAAATAGCTATTTTGAACATATATAACTTGAGTTTGTTTTGATTTAAAAGTGTAGACAATAAATGTATTCCGTTTTTTTCTTTTTATAAAGTAGTGATGTGATTATTTATGAACAATAATTGTATTAGTAGGTTATTTTTTCATATATCAATAAATTATTATTTATTATTTATTTGTATATATTATTATTATTTTTTTTATTTTTAGAAAGACATACTTGGGTTCAAATCTTGATTCCGGTCACTCTCTACTCTAACCTGCCAAAAAAGAGCCAGCAGCCGCCTAATCTCTTCTCTACCATCAACATATGAGGTGGAATGGGTCGTGAGGCTCCGCTACCTCTCTTGACAGATTTTGAGACTAAAAAAAATTGGTCGCAACAGTCAGATAACTATCCCAACCAACCAACCAACCAACCCGTGACTAGGCCCAAACGGGTTGGATTTGGGTGAGGTTTTCAATTTCAAAGGTCAGCCTTCCTTATTCGATCCAAGGCTCTCTCTTATCTTGTTGTTTGAACTTTCGCCGAGCTAATCAGCCATTCGTGGCCATTGACTTAACGGTGGCTTTCTTTACTTTTTCCCTTTTCCATCTGATCTACGTGGCATGAAAATATATAGTAGCATGTATCTGCAGACGTGGCAACCTGCATGTTTATCGTTAATCGCTTTCCACGTGTCGAGGTTTGTGGACGGCGCGCGGCTTCCCATCCCATTTGAGTTCGCCGCTTCCCACAGCAGTCCAAAATAATGTTCTTCGAGGCCCCTGCATTTTTGTTGTCTGGGGAAGGGAAGGGAAGGCAAGCCCACCAAAGGCCGGACGGACAGATGTGGGAGTTGAAGTCCAATGTCTAAGAAACTACTCTGCCGGCCCTAGGCTCGGAATTCGGATCGTGAATATCGGGTATCATATTTTAGAATTGATAAAAAAATGTTAACAATATAAAATGGTTGAATTGAGATTAAATCATGTTAAATACTATACGTTAACCTTTTTTTTATAACTTTCGATACTATTTCACAATCCTTAACTTGAACCAGTGTTTGTGACATTGTACCACAATGATGGCAAAAAAATCTGAACGAGAATGAATAAAAACTATATGCTTGTGTAGATTTGAAACATGGTCATTGGAGAAAAGGGTCTACAGCCTTATCAGTTTGGCCATTTTATGAATTTGTTTCAAATTCTTACATGCAAATTTTATCAAAGTTGGGAGCGGGGTTGTAGTAGCCCGCTCTGGACTCAATGTACTTATGCCACTGTCGTACTAGCAATACAACTGAAAAAAACTCATAATAGCAGTATGAAACAGTTGAACGACGGTTAAACCAGATTTCAGTACAATATATCATAATATTGTCTTTTTCGATACAACCACCCATAATCATTAAGTTAAACTCGAGGTCGGTCCGACCAACTATGGTGCCCGCGGTTCTTTTCTCAGAATGTGCTCACAAGATTGACTCTTGTTAGTTGTTACTACATTTATTGTGACCGTTGGGATCATGAACATGATTACACTTTATTTACAAAATTATTATCACGTTCACTCAATAATCATAGATCACTGTTTATATAAAATAAATAAAAAAAGATAGAGATCACTCAGCGCCTTTTTGAGTTTTTGGTGACGCCCACTATCCATGACCATGAGTGTGTTATCACAATTTGGGCTATGAGAATCATAGCAGGATTGAGTCCAAATTCCTACAAAGATTCTTGAGCCTTACGGGCTCGCAGCTTTCTTCGAAATATTTAATTGGGTCACTGTGCGCAATGATGGTATAATGTTAATGAAGTCGACGAGGCCTTGTTAAGTGATATATGATTATCTTAAGTAATAGTGGTTTTTTTTATAGAAATCTGCTAGAATTATTATTATCGGCGGACTCAGTTACATTGTCAAGGATCAACCGATCCACCAAAAAGACAGGGGGCCTATCAACTCAAACAACACTCTCATTCTAATGTGTCTGACTATGCGTCATAGCATGTGCAGCTTCATTAGCTTCCCTATAGATGAATCTCCACCTACTTCCTTCCATCCGATTTAAGATTCGCCTCACGTTCCTGCAAATTACTCCTGTTTCCGTGAAAACCTCATCCGCCACTTGAAGATTTTGCACAACTGTCTGGCAGTCCGACTCAATGATCGGCCTCGGGTAATGCATTTGTCAGGCTAGCTGCGCACCAAACTCCACAGCAAGGGCCTCCGCCATTTCCACGCTCCAATTCCCTTGCACTCGTTTAGCAGCTGCAAGCAGGAACCGCCCTTCATCATTACGAATAACCACTCCAAGGCCCACCCAACCATTCGGCAAAATACATGCATCCGTCGCCACCGATGTACAGCCCCTGCCGGGACACCTCCATCTCCTCTCCTGTGCGGCACTCGGGCCTGCAACTAGAGCCTCAAACCTTGCCTGGTGCTTTTTATACTCCTCAAGCAGAAGGTGTGCTCGTATAGCTATTTCGTCCTCCGGGGACTTCTTGCCATTGAACAGTTGGGCGTTGCGTTCTCGCCACAGAGCCCACATCAAGGTACACCATTCTTCCATAGCATCATCCGCCACCATAGCCATCACTACATTAACCCAGCCAAAGCTGTCATTTGTTCCTCTAGCTGCGAAACACCCATTGAGCGGCGAGGCCCTCCAAATCTGTGCCGTCCAACTACACTCATGGAAGAGGTGAACTTGTGTCTCCAGCATATCAAAAAAAAGGACACTTATCGCTCCACTTATTACTCCGAGTACTCATATGATCTCCTGTGGGTAGGGCATCTCGCATAAACCTCCACATGAATTGTTTAACCTTTGGTGGAGTGTTCATTGACCACATTCTCTTCCAAGCATCAGCGTTCCCATACAGACTAAGACCCCTGTCTTGCGCAAAACCCTTATGCCACCCCCTGTAACCATCCTTCACTGTGTACTCCCCGTTTCTGCTATCATTCCAAATCAGCTCATCAAGCTCTTGCTCATCCCATAGAAGAATTTGAAGAATAGCGTCCACTACCGCCGAAGGGAAGCAGCTCGCAAGCAGCCCCAAGTCCCACTGGTTGGTCATCGGATCAATAAGCTCACGAACAGTCGAATCAACGAGGAGGCCCACCGGAGCCGACAGGACAAACTGATCAGCAATGTCGGGAATCCACCTATCACCCCAAACCCGCACCATCGACCCATTACCTATCCTCCACCGCAGCCCTGCACACAAAAACTCCTGCGAACTCATTATCGATCGCCAAATGTAACTTGGGTTTCATCCACAATGCGCTTCAAGGATCGTGGTGTTCTTATGATACTTGGCTTTATAAATGCGGGCTGCCAAGGAATCCGGTCTCTGTGCGAGTCGCCAGAGCTGTTTCGCCAGGAGAGTGGTGTTAAAACCTTTAAGGTCCCGGAATCCCATCCCTCCCTCTTCCTTGGGCATCGTTAGTTCCTCCCGGCTAATCCAATGAGCTCGCTTCTCACTACCTTTTTGACCCCACCAAAAATTTGTAATCAGACTGTTAGTCTCATCAAGAACACCGTCAGGAACACAGAACACACTCATCGCGTACGTGACGTTTGACCCCACCAAAAATTTATAATCAGACTGTTAATCAAAACTTCACTGGCTGTGGATGACATCATCCTTTCCTTCCAACCCTTCAACTTTTTCCCGACCCGTTCCCTGATTTCCAGGAAGAGTTCCTTCTTTGATCTCCCCGCCTCAGTAGCTAATCCCATATATTTTTCATGTTTCGAGACACACTTATCCCCAGAACACCGCCCACCTCCAACCTCCTATGCGTCTTGACGTTTGGACTGAAGGAGACATTTGATTTCTGGAAATTGACAAGTTGACCCGACTCGCGTTCATAGTCATTCAGAATAAGTTTAATCTCCTTACTCTCCTGCACCGTGGCCCTGAAAAAGAAACACTATCGTCAGCAAAAAGAGGTGTGACACCACAGGTGATCCGCGCGCCGGTTGAAAACCGTGGATTCTCCCATCCCCGACCGCCTTCTTCGTGTACGATGATAGTCCCTCTGGACAAATCAGAAACAAATAAGGCGAGAGGGGATCACCTTGTCTCAAACCCCGCTCAGGCCAAATAGTTTCCGATCTGTGTCCATTTACAAGCACCGAGTACGACACCGATCGGACACACATCATGATTCTGCACCACCCATCGTTCATCAAACCCCAACTTCCTCATCATTCCCTTAAGAAAATGCCATTCCACCCTGTCATAAGCTTTAGCCATATCAATTTTAGCCGCCGCCACACCAACTCGTCCCTTTTTTTGCTTCTTCATCGAGCGAAAGCACTCAAAAGCAGCCATAATATTGTCTGAGATAACCCGCCCCGGAACAAAAACGCTTTGGGCAGGATCTATAATTTGGTCCAGGATCTGATTGAGCCGATTGGCCAGAACCTTCGCCACCAGTTTGTAGAGAACATTGCACAAACTAATTGGACTAAATTCTCCTGGACCCATAGGGGTTTTAACCTTTGGGATCAACACTATCAAGGTCTCATTAAGAGAGGCCGGGATCGAACCTCCTTCGATGATGTTAATCACTATAGCTGTGACCTCGTTCCCGATAATCTCCCAATACCTCTTAAAGAAGAGGGCCGAAAATCCATCGGCGCCTGGGGCTTTGCGAGACCCCATATGTTTCAAAGATCCAAATACTTCCTCCCTGGTGATTAGACACAATAACAGCTCATTATGCGCCGCGCTAACCCTCGACCCCGCCAAATCTAACACTGGGGGAATGATATGGAGCCTCTAACGCTTTGAATAAATGCCTGAAGTAATCAACCAAACACTCTGATACAGCTTCAGTTCCAAGGTACCATTGACCGCCATCATTTCTAAGCTTTTTTTATAGTATTACGCTTTCGGCGGGCAGAGGCTTTCCTATGGAAGAACTGAGTATTCTTCTCACCACCTCTGAGATAATCAACTCGACTCCTTTGTTTCCAATATTCCTCTTCAGTCGCTTCCAACTCTTCAAGTTCCGATTCTAGCACCCTCCTCTACGCAAGCACTTCCTCGGTTTTGGGAGACCAATCAAGCGCTCTAAGAGCTCTGGCGATCTTCCTTCTCTGAATCCTAAAATTCAGAAAAGCCCTCTTACTCCACTGTCCAAGAAAGTCCCTACATCGCTCCAATCTTTCGAGGGTATCATTCGCTCCTCCTAACTGCCACGCTTCCCTTATCACATTTGGGCATTCCTCGTGTTTTGTCCAAATAGGGTCAAAACGGAAGGACCAACCCCATGTCGGATCAACATCTTCCTCACCCAGGCTATCTCAGACGATCGGGCTATGGTCTAATCTTAGCTTATCAAGGTGGAGAACCCGCGCATTCCGAAACTTATCCCTCCAAGCATCAGACCTTATGAACCTGTCCAAAACCTCCTCGATATAACCACCATGTCTTCGCGAGTTCTCCCAGGTGAACTTATATCCAATGTACCCCAAATCTTGCATTCCCACCTCCATAAGGCAATCATTGAAAGAGTCCATCTCAGCTACACTTGGATTGTTCCCTCCAACCTTTTCATCGTTCGTCCGCACCTGGTTGAAGTCACCTCCGCACAGCCATGGACCATCCCATTGCCCTGCTAAGGATCGAATAAGATCCCAAGTCCTCCACTTCTCACTTCCTTCCGGCCACCCATAGATACTTGAAAATCTCCACGTACCATAGATATCCTCGACAATTTTACTATCAATGTAGTGTAAGGAACCAGACATAACCGTAACTTGCAGTCCTTCCTTCCACCACAAACTCACACCCCCTCCCCTACTTCATGGGGTAATAACCGCTGACCAGCTCTCGCCATTTTCAAAACCAAGCTCCTTGCGAATTTCTTCGTTTTCTTTCTCTGTCTGTTTTGTCTCCATTAAGAAGACAATGTGAGGGGACGTTTGTCGCAATAACGACTTCAAAGATCAAATGCACGTGTACTCCCCAACCTACGACAGTTGTAGCTTAATAGTCGCATTAATGCCCCAAAAGGGATCAGTTCCCCACACCATTCAGAATCTTATTTCCTTTCTTATCCTTTCCAAGCTTTGTCTCATTAAGGTGAACAGGTTGAGCTCCCGGTGGAATAGTCTGGGATTTAACGGCACCTGTTTATCCTTCTCTCCTCTTTGTCCGACCTTGGATCCTGTGAACACACGTCACAAACCGTGATCTGCTGCTGCTTCCACCGCTTGACTTAATTTTTCGCACTTTCGTCCAACTTTCGACTCCAGGGTTGGTTCCACCTGCCAAAGTCTGGAAAAATTCCAAAACAAGGCAAAACCCGGCGTAAAACCAAACCTCCCGGAGTAAAAATGCTTCAAACGACTATGCAAACTGGGGGTAAAAAGTGTACAAATGAGCCAGAATCATTCCCCACACTTAGACGTTTGCTTTTCCCCAAGCAAACCATTTTCAACCTAGGTGATATCTCAACCTAACTAGATAACTTGGGTTCAAATCAAAAGGCATAAAGCGGTGAATCTCAATGACTATTGGGAATCAACACATGAACTGCCTCAAATAATACCGGCATCCACCACAACCGACATTCGATTGCATCAAGAATGGGCAAACAAAAAGTTCTCACCGTATTCACAAATCAATGCATGTCTTGACCAAACTACTCACCACCACAACTAACCATGCATAGAACTCAAGTCTAAGGAATAGACAACATGGGCAACATAGGTCCTCACCGGGGTAAGATATGAACATGCAAAACAAGAATGAATCACTCACTCTCGACCAATAGGGTCGGGACCTTTTTGGTGCAAGAGATGTGCACAATCATCAACACTCAGCCCAATCGTCTATCCACCACGGCGGAAACCTCTAAATGCTAGAGTTCACGGGACAGTTGTCATCACTAGCTTGTCCGGAGGTCTTAGACACGGGTTCAAATGACTGGCAATTGTCTTGGGCATGGGGAAAAGGCTTTTTTGGGTGGTGGCAAACATGGCATTAGGTCCTATATCTTCAACCTAAAACCCAAGGTTCGATGGTCTCAACTAAGAACCTTTCCTACAAACAAAGGCCACTAGCATCGGCCAAAAACCATACTTCCCTTCTTCCTAACCACTACCAATCACGAACCACATTCAAGCACACTTTTTCGGCCTATATCGCTATTCACATTTCAAACCTAGTAGTGAAGGTGATCAAAAAATTTAGGTGTTTCAATGGCTTGAGTGCCAAGAAACCCTTTCTACCTCTTTTTCGTTTCTTTTCTTTCGTTTTCTCTTTTTTTTCGAGGGCGGTACTAGAGAGCTAAGCACATGCCACTTCTTCTATGTAACGAACAATGCTCTCCATTTCAGAACTTTCCTCCAACACTACATTCTCATTTCTAGCAAGAACCGTGCAAAACCACCTATGTATAACCTCAATGGAGCTCAAAAGCGAGAACTCGAAGACACAAGGATGACTCACACTTCGACACGAAGAAAGGATGGGTGGGGGCCGTTCTTTAAATCACCATTATGCTCAACAAACACGAAGCTCCTAGCATTAGAACGACCCCCAAAGTCACACGACTCAAAGGGGTTGACGAGGGGACAAAATGTTTCAGGACAATCAACTTTTGGGCGTGGAAAATCATATTCCTCCATCATACTCACTAGTGACAATGGTGAATGTTACACACCATGGCGAGAAGGATCTATCTCACATGAAAAAGACGATCAACAAAAAACTCACATTATCTAGCCGCTCAATGCATGGCAATTGTAATCAAGAAGTAACCAAGTCAAGACATCCATTCATTCAAACACACATGAGAACTAACCTTTTGCACAACCCTAATGCATTCTCAGTCATCATAATAGGATGCACTCGATTACATGCAACCATTCAAGATCGATGCCAAATAAGCACGAGATTCACCCACCAACCGGCCATTTTGATCATTCATTGCTTGGAGCCCTCAAAATTTTCAAATTTGTGCATACATCAAGGCTCCAAGCGTTCACTCACACACACAAGCATAAGCTTAAACTACCCCCACCCCACCCCCCCACACACACACACTTAAGCTCGACACTGCCCTCAATGGTGTAAAATAGGGGGTAGAACGATGTTACCGCATGGCTTGGTGAATGAAAGTTGAAGAAATTCCCGGGGTAGGATGTTTGAGATTCAAAGGAGAAACAACAAAAAAAAACACAAACACGTGCACATTCTCGCTCGAGGCGAGGTTATTACACATAACAAAGTTTCACAATACGATTCAAACGACATACCTCCGTTGGGTTGCCTCACAATAACCGCTAGTTTAACATCTTAAGCTAGACAAAGACTTCGGGCTAAACATCATGTAGGAGCACCACTTCCTTTTGGGGCATTTCCTCTCCGTCGAGGTAACGTTTGAGGCGGTGTCCATTTACTTTGAAAATCCCTTGATCCAGGTAGAGATCTCGACCACCCCGTATGTATACACTCGGGCCACTGAGTACGTGCCCGACCATTTTGATCTCAACTTCCTGAGGAAAAGACATAACCGAGAGTTGTACAAAAGCACCTGCTCTCCTGGTTGAAAGTCTTTCCCCCCTTTGAGTCTTGCATCATGCAGACACTTCGTCTTCTCCTTGTAAATCTTGGTGTTCTCGTAGGCATGAAGACTCCACTCTTCGAGTTCTAGCAACTACAACTTCCTCTCATTGCCACACAAAGTAGGCCATATTCAATAGTTTGGTGCCTAGAAAGCCCTGTGCTCTAGCTCCACGAGTAAATGACACGCTTTGCCATATACCGATTGGTAAGGCGAGATGCCTATTGGTGTTTTATCGCTCGTCCGGTACTCCCATAGAGCATCATCGAGTTTGGCCGACAAATCCTTGAGGGAACGGTCCACGGTTTTTTCTAGAATCCTCTTCAGTTCCCTATTTGACAATTTCAGGTGGTAGGTCATGAAAACCTGATGCGTGACACCATAGTGATCGAGGAGTTGGTCGAATTGCCCTTGAAAATGGGTTCCTCGATCACTAATGATGGCCCTCGGGGTTCCAAAACGTGAGAATAATTTCTTCAGGAATCCACAGACTCATCTTGCATCATTGGTGGGTAGGGCTTGCGCTTCCACCCAACTCGAGACATAGTCCACGACTAATAGACTGTACTTATTCCAAAAAGACGAGGGAAAAGGGCCCATGAAATTGATGACCCATACATCAAAACCTCACACATGATGGAAATTGTTTATGGCATCTCATTTCGGTTAGAGACATTACTTTTTCTTTGGCAACTATCACAATGTCGGACAAATGAGTAGGCATCCCGGAACAACGATCGCCAGTAGAATCCCGCTTGAAGCACCTTCCTTGCGGTGCGGTTCCTCTATGATGCCCTTCAGTTGGTACCTCATGACATTAGCTCAGAATAGCCATCATTTCCCTTTTTGGTACACATTGTCGAATGATACCATCGGCCCCAATCCGAAGGTGAGGATCATCCCAAAAGTAGTGTCGGAGGTCAAAAAGATACTTCTTCTTTTCATTTGTATTGATTCCCTTTGGTAGTTGATGTCCGACCAAATAGTTGGCGAAGTCAACGAACCACGGGGTGGCACTCTCAGCCATGGCAAGCACGAATAACTTCTCGTCGGGGAAAGTGTCATTAATCTCGACTCAGAACGTGCTCCACCCGGGACCTTCAAGTCAGGAAAGGTGATCCTCCGCAAGGTTCTCCAACCCTTTCTTGTCTTTGATCTCCACATCAAATTCCTAGAGAAGCAGAATCCATCTAATCAAGCGGGGTTTGGCATCGGTCTTGCTCATCAAGAAACAGATAGAGGAATGATTGGTGTATATAATGACCTTCGACAGAAGAAGATAGGACCAGAACTTGTCAAAAGCAAAGATAGCCGCCAATAATTCCTTTTCAGTAGTTGTGAAGTTCTCTTGAGCCTCGTTCAATGTCTTTGAGGCATAGCATATGGGTTGAAAATGTCACCCCTCCTTTGACCCAACATCGCTCCCACTTCATAATCACTAGCATCACACATTAGCTCCAAAGGGAGGGTCCAATACGGAGACACCATGATCGGGGCATTTATGAGCCTAGCTTTTAGGACATTGAAAGCTTCAAAACACTCCTTTGTGAAGATGAAAGGTGCATCCTTCTCTATAAGTTTTGTTAGGGGGAGTGTGATCTTTGAAAAAATTTCTATAAATCGGTGATAGAATCGCGCTTGCCCAAGGAAGCTCCTAATGCCTTTAACTGATGCCGGAGGGGGAAGCTTACTTATGGTCTCGACCTTGGCTCGATCTACCTCAATGCCCTTCTTCAAAATCTTGTGCCCCAAAACAATGCCCTCTCATACTATAAAATGTGACTTCTCCCAACTCAGAGCCAAATTGGTCTCTTCACACCGCTAGAATCTTCTCCAAGTTGGCCAAGTAGTGAACAAATGATTCCCCAAATATCAAGAAAACGTCCATGAAAACCTCCATTATGTCCCCCATAAGCTTATCGAAGATAGCCACCATACATCTCTGAAATGTAGTCGGGGCATTACACAATCCAAACGGAATACGTCTATAAGCGAATGTTCCGAAGGGGCATGTGAATGTCGTCTTAGCTTGATCTTCCGGGGCGATTGGTATCTGGAAGTAACCTGACATTCCATCCAGGAAGCAGTAACAGTCGTGATCCGCGAGCCTCTCTAGGATTTGATCAATGAAAGGAAATGGGAAATAATATTTACGAGTGGCATCGTTCAATCGACAATAGTCAATGCACACCCTCCACCCGATCACCGTCCTTGTTGGTATGAGCTCTTCCTTCTCATTTGTCACCATCGTCATACCACCTTTCTTGGGAACCAACTGAGTCAAGCTTACCCCCTGACTGTCGGAAATTGGGTAGATGATCCTAGCTTCCAGGAGTTGATCACCTCGGCCTTCACCACTCCCTCCATGTTAGGATTCACTCGTTGATGAGGTTAGCGGACCGGCTTGGCGCCCTCTTCCATGAGGATCTTGTGCGAACAAAATGAGGGCCCAATTCCTCAGATATTGGTGATCTTCCACGCAATGGCTCTCCCATGATGAAGCAAGACCTTGATTAATTGGATTTTCTGCTCGGGTGTGAGGTTTGCATTGATGATGACCGGGATCTTGCTTTCTTTCCTCAGGAAGGCATATTCAAGGTTGGGAGGCAACGACTTCAACTCCAACTCGGGTGGCTCTTCCAAAGAGGTAGGAATCTTGGGCATGGGGGTAAGGCTTCCACCTCCACTTCGTGGGTCACAACACAGGATTCCTTAGTTTGTGAGGATTGTTCCTCCTCTTCCGAAGATTCTGATTCATTCGCACCTACTAAAAAACACTCCTCAAACGGGTCAGTAAGATTGGCACCCGCGGACGCGAATGTCGCAGTGAAATCAAATATATCGTCACAGTATTCAATATCATCATGAAGACAAGAAAACTTCATGCTATCATCTATGGAGAAGGTAATCTCCTCCTCCCCTACCCTGAGTACCAACTTACCACCATGCACATCGATTAATGCCTTTGCGGTGGCCAAAAAGGGGTTTATCTAGAATAAGAGGGACGTCCACATTATCCTCGATGTCGAGAATGACAAAATCGACCGGATAAATGAGGTTCCCGACTTTAATGAGTAGATCCTCAACTACACCCTTAGGGTGCACTATCGATCTATCAGCCAACTTTATTTTCATCCTAGTAGCTCTAGGTTCACCTAGGTCCAACTTTTTAAACAATCTATACGACACATTAATGCTAGCACCTAGGTCCGCCAAGGACTTTCTAATGCATATATTTCCAATAAAGCAAGGGATAGTGAAACTCACTGAATCCTCGCGCTTTGCAGGTAAGTGGTTCTGTAGGATTGCCGAGCACTTCTCATTCAAGGTCACAATAGTGATTCCTTCCAGCTTCTTCTTGTTGGTGAGGAGGTATTTCAAGTACGTCACGTACTTGGGCATCTGAGTGAGGGCCTCAACAAATGGAATGTTGAGGTACAATTGGTTCATCAACTTCATGAAGTGGGCGAACTCTGCTGCCATGCGGTCGGTGAAGTCGGGTGGGGTAAGGAAGAGGTGGTCTTTCTTCCCCTTTCTTATGTTCTCGCGGAGTCCAGTCCATCTTATCCTTCTCCGTCACACTTGGATCCCCTTCTTGCTCGAGGGGAGTTGAGGCTTTGGTTTGCTCTTCTACCTTGGGAGGTTTCTTCTGGAGAGGTACTGATGACTTGATATATACACATGTTTTGTCCACCATTCTTACACCGTTTGAGTCTTGTTTCTCGTGTTTTATGCCGATTTCACGCTAGGTTATTCTTGTTTGTGATATTTCAGGTCCTAGTACGTGAATGAAGGTTCGGGAATGAGTTCTGAGTCGATTGGACGAAGATTGGATGGTTGGCGAGAAGTTGGGAAAGCCACACGGGCACGCCTAAAATCCCACACGGCCGTGTGACCTGGCCGTGTGGCACCAAATTGCACGGGCAAGCCACACTGGCCGTGTAGGGGACCCCTTGTGGCCGTGTGGAAAGTCCAGGGAGTTCACACGGGCAGCCTGGACATACACACGGCCGTGTGGTTTTGGCCGTGTAGCGTACCTGAAGCCACTTAAGTGAAACACGACATTTTGCACACTAGTCGTCTGCCGGGTAGTTGGACTGAGAGGGCTTGGGCAGCTTAAGAGATTCCAAGCTACTGTCAGATCTTCCGCAATTTAATCAACAGTTAATCAACCCAGGGTAATTACAACCTCGACCTAACTAAGGAGCTAGGGGGACTCATTCCCGAGTGACTCTTCCCTTGCTAAAGAACTTTGAACCAAATTCCTGCTTTCTTATTGCTTTTAGTTAAAATCACAATCACTCGACTTAGTTTGCTAGATAATAGATATTCACGGAGTATGCAGTAGATCTAGACCCCGGGTTGACAATTAGAGCTTGCCTGTTACTGCATTTCCGGACTGCGATTACACTTGGTCGCAGTTTGGTGTTGTGTTTTAGCGTGTCAAGTTTTTGGCGCCGTTGCCGGGGACCTCTAGGTTATTGTAGAAAATTGAAAGTCTGTTACTTTAACATTTACTTTTATGCATCCTATCTTTTCCACCCTTGCTTTTCACTTGGGTATTTTGTTTTTGTTGGTGCAGATCTAATACATGGATTCTCAAGGCTTCTCCAACCATTGGGGGTATCCACCACCACCCGAGTGGTATTACCCCGAGACTTCATGAAGCACCCAAGGAGGAGAAGACTATGGAGTCGGGTTTCAGTACCAACCCCGCTACTACGAAGAACAATCAGACCCTTGGGTATTTCAAGAACAATCTCTTTATCAAGAAGAATTCCTCCCACAACTAGAAGGGCCATCAGATCTTGATTTAGCCACAGCCTTCACGGGCCATCCGGCAGAGCCATGCTACACTCCACGTCCAGATCCAAACTATCACTTGAGGCTTCTCGTGGAGCATATTTGTCGACTACCCGAGAGATCCTTTCCCGAGCTGGATCCTCATATCCAGGCTATGGCCCAAACTGACTTCTCCTTTCCCCGTGAAACAGAGGATACCCTTCGGAGCATAAAGAAGCACATAGAGGTCATTGAGAAAACTTGTGCACAGTTTCTCAAGACAACCTTTATGCTGCCATACAAGTAGATGAGGAGGAAGAAGAAGGCAATCATGAGGATGTTGAGGATCATATAGAAGTTTTCACGGAAAGCTCCCATGATAATCATGATCAAGTGTATCCTCTGGTGGTAGATCACAACTTTCCCCATTTCCGCTCTGATATGCTGGGCCTGAGCGAGGAAATGCAAGATGATCTCATTGAAGAAATTACATGGCGACTTGCTCTCCAATCTGTGCTAGAAGAAGAAGAGCGAGAAAGGGTGAGGGAAGAAGTTGTGGAGGACGAGGAAGAGAGCAAAGAAGAGGAATTTCTTGATCTTTTCCAAGGGGAGAAACCACATTCTGATGAAGGAAGGGGGGTTAAAGAAGCAAGTTGTGTCCAAGCTAAGGATGAAGTTGAGGTGGAAGAGGCATGCACCGGCCATGAGTTACATGTGATATCTCCACCAAACTTCGAGGAGCTGCTTGGCAAGTACCCATTTGCAATGTCTCTTTGCCAGACCAAGACCACATCAACATTGATCCCTCTTGGGAAATGAGACAAGAGCATACGCGAATGAGAGGTCTCGAGAGTGGAGACTTCATCTTCCTAAAGGCCACGAGCCATCTTCATCACCTATCACATCACATGCTCGTGACTTGAGACTCCACATCATAGACGAGAAAACCATACACAAATACCCCATGTGGAACCTCGTTTAAGCTCAAATGGTATGAATGGAGCTTCCAAACACAAGGGCGACTCGATAACGGTGTAGACACGAAGAAAGTAGGGTCGTTCTATCTAAATCAATCAAGCTCAAGTAGCGAGAGCTACCTAAAACGAGAGCGACCCTTAGACACACGCCTCAAAAGGGTTGACTAGGGGATAATGAGATAGGGACGGTCAACATTTGGGTCATGGACTAAACCTATGCCTCCATCTTCCTTGCTAGCAACAACGTGAATGCTACGCATCATGTAAAGGGGGATCTATCACACAAGAACGAAATGAATGGCACCTAGGTGCTCAATCATTCGTTCTAACTCCCTAAACTCGATGCACAAGCAACTGTGAAAAACAAGTAACCAATTCAAAACATCTAGCGGTTCATAAACACATGAGAAATGAACCTATGCACAAACCTAATACATGTCTCAGTCATCATCATAGGTTGCACACAATCACAAGCAAATCATCCATAGACCATGCTAATAACCACGAGATTCAAAACAAATCACCACAAGATGCCACTATGATTATGCAAATGTAGAAGTTGTTATGCTTGGAGCCCTCAAATTTTGAAAATTTGGGCATACAACTATGCTCCAAGCATTCAAAATCACACCAAACATTCACACACACATGCATAATAGACTACCCTCACACTTAAGCTCGACATTGCGCTCGATGGCGTAAAACAAGGGGATAGAACGATGTTACCGGTCAAGTTGTGAATGTTTGTGCTTGGGGGCGAAGAGCGGGTTAGCTCCGAAAGAGCGTGGTCAGGTCCAAAACACCACCAAAAACTCTTCAATGGTCTTCTTATTGGAGCGGAAATCAAACAAATCGATGGTCGATGGGTTGCCTCCCACCAAGTGCTTCTTTAACATCGTGAGTCAGACGATTGCTCCTCAAGTTTCGGTCCACCCAAGAACCTCCTTGAAGTTGAGGTTCTCGTCGGTGAGGTGAAATCTCAGGTCACGAGATTGGAAGAATCCATTATTGAGGGCTCATGAACTTGATTGACTTTGAGGCTCCACCCATGAGACCTCTCCTTCTTTCCTTCTCCTTCTTTCTCTTTGCCCCACACCATGTAGTGCATCATTGATTTACCACCATCGCATCCACCAAGAGGGATCGCCGATGGTTTGGCCTTGGCTTGGCAAAGAGCCGCAAACGGGTCCTTCTCCAAAAGCGCATCAAGGTCGGGTGGAAAGCTTTCATAGCCCTCATAACTTGTGGATGCTTCATCCACCTCGACCTTGTCCTCGTCATGGACTCCACTTGCACCTTCTTCTTCATTTTTCAAAATTTGATTCCTCCCAATGGGAACACCCAAGATCTTCCTCCTCGTCAATGCTCACTTCCTCCTCTTCAATCACTTCTTCCTCCTTCCCATTCATGTCTTCAAGCACGAATTTGAGGGCAAAATGCAATACAATGTCATAGAAGGGATTCTCTTGCTCCTCCACATGTGTCAAACTGGGAGGAGGGAGGGGTTGGAAATCCATGCAGGAGCTCGTTCTTCCAAAACTATCATGGCTCGCCTCTTTGACTTCCTCTCTTTCATCCAATGGTAGGAGGTGATTGTGAGCAATTTGTGCACATGCTTGCTCAATAAGCTCTCCGAGCCTCTTTGTGCATCGAAGGAGCTCCTCCGATTCCAGAAGAAAGGTTGAGTCGATAGGGCCAGTGATGGGAAGATCCGAATTGGAGCATCCTTCGTCGGCACCCCGGGAAAATTGCTCCACCATGAGCTCCCAGTTTTTCTTTGGCTCCGGTTGTGGAGTGGCACAAGGTCTTGATGATTGTCCCATGAAGGCTTCCATGGCCAACTCCAACTTGGATTTCCCCTCGGGTTGTGGAGGGAAATCTTCTTGATATAGAGAAACCTCTTCATATCCCCAATGTTATGGTTGTTCGTCTTGGAAGGGCGGTTGGTAATAGAACCCAGATCCTTGGCTTCCCCCTTCTTGTTCACTCCATGAAGCTCCAGGGTAACCCTATTCGGGTGGTTGTGGATACCCCCACCTATTGTAGAAGCCATTGGGATCCATAATTCATAACCTACACAAACAAAATCAAACAAACACAAACCACCCTTCTAAGACAAGAGTGGGTAAACAAAACACAACACGAAACACAAAACACAAACAAAAAGGCAAGATTAAAAATGCTAGAGTAACACTAAGCGACCTTTTCTGGATAACGAACCATAAGGTCCCCAGCAACGGCGCCAAAAACTTGACTCGCACGAAACTACACCACAAATTAATCCCGACTAGAGTCCAAGTTTTTAAACTCTAGCCGCGTGCAGTATAGAGCAAGTATTTAAATTGTCAATCCGGGCGGATCCATGTACCCCTACTTCAATCGCTTAGGTTGTTATCTAGCAAGCAACTTTTGGGTTTATAACTAATGGAACTACAAACTAAACAAGCAAAGAAAAGAAAATAAATGAAAATCCTAACTAAAGGAGCTTCACCCAGGAGTTGCTTCCCACTAACTAGCTACCAAGACTCGTTGGATTGGAACTATTGTTATGGTTAAGGTAACCGTGAACTGCAGAGGGATGCATATATGGTCAAAGGCCACAATCTCAATTGCTAAATTGAGGTAAGCATTAAAGGTCGTGTCACTCGATCCTCTCGGTTTAGACAATCAGTAGTTGACTTACTCCCTCACTCAAATCAAAGGTCGGATGGTTTAATCGCGATTAACCGATTTGCTTAAGTCAACATTGAGGGTTGCCCTAACTTAACTTAGTTAGGTGGCTTAAAAAGCGGAAGGAAAACCAACTCGATTGAGTCTCCCTTGGAAGGTGGATTTTCCTCTCTAAGCTAGGCTAAGGTGGCTAATTAGATTGCTAGCACCTACATGCACAAACCTAAGGGTGCTAAGCACAATTATGCACAATCCTTAGGTTGCTAAGCACTAAAATGCACAAACCTAAGGATGCTAAGCGCAAAACATGCACAACCCCTAGGTTGTTAAGCACAAGCATGCACAATCATGATAAATACTACCTCAATCATTGAATTAACCAATACCCAATGACAATCATTAAATCTAAACAAGTAATTACAAAGTATTAGTTAGGGATCTACAACAACTAAAGAGAAAAGAGTGAGTTTCTAGAGAGAGCGAGGGATTATAAATTTGAGCTCAATATCTTCTTCTTCTAGGCTTCAATCTCCACCCAAGCCTCCAATGATGCTCCAAGATCAATCTAGCACTCTCTCTCTCACACACTAGAATTCCCCTTTGGTGTTTTTGGGCAAACCCTAGAGAAAGAAACCAATTCTTCTCCAAAAACTAGCTCCCCCTTCTCCTTCAGCTCCCCTCTCCTTTTATACCCAAATCAGGCTCAGTTCAAGGTCTTAGAGTTGAGTTCAAAGACGCGTTGGTCATTTCACGGTCTTAGTTCAAGGACGCGTTGAGCAGTTCATGGTCCTAGACCTTAGTTCACGGTCGTGAACATTGAAACGCGTCCGTGAACTCAATGTTGAGACCAAAACGCACCTCTTCATATCCACGGTTCACGGTCTTAGCGACTGTGAACTCACTCGGCGTCAGTAACCATCGGATTCGACCTGGACGCTTCGCAGTTCACGGATTTTGGCTCCAGTTCACGGTCCTGAAAGACCTTCAACTCTAATGGCAGACATTGAACATAGGTTCTTTCCTCCTTTTTGCTCCTTTTCTTCCAACTTTCGACTCCGGGCTTGGTTTCACCTGTTGGATCCTGAAACACGCTAAAACACAAGAACCCTAGCGTAAACCCACCCTTTTAGGAGCAGAATTGCCACAAACACCTAAGGAAAACAGTGGTAAAACATGTACAATTAGGCCCGAATCAGCAATAGCAAATCTCAATTGAATTGTTGAAGAGTTTAGCAAATTAGACTTAAATTCAATTGTGGGTGCCATGCAAGTTAATTGATTCTTAAGACATCGAATCTTGTGAGAATTGGATCACAATTTCAAAACAATAAAATCGAAGTCATACCAATTAGATAAAATACAATGTTAAACGACTAAAATCATGATTACAATGCCTAATAAGTATAATTAATTACACTTCTAGTTTGCTATTACATTAAAGTAATTACAATTAAAAATTGGGCTCAAGTCCAAGTCCAAGCCTAAATCCTAGTCAACTGTTAGTCAAAACCCAAAAAATGTCAGACATGCCCATACAAAAGTCTAACATCAGGCCCTCCCAGATTCGGACCAGGCCCAATCTAGACTGAACCAAACTGGTTCGACCAGACTAAGCCCAGCCCACTCCTCAACCAATTAGAAAAATACAACATAAACTACACCTCTATTAACCAGTCAAAACTCTCACCAATGGCCTCTTTGGCTATAAAATAGCCGACTTATTTTCTCTCTTCTGGGGATCATCTTCTTCTCCCCAAGCGCGGCCTCTTTCTTCTTCCTTCCTCCCCACGATCTAGAAAAAAAAACTCCTCTCCACTTCTTCCTTCCTTTTGATCCACACTCCACAGACAACACAAAGAGCATAAACTCTCATCTTCTCTTCTTTTTCTTAGCTACCAAAGCACAAACAAATCCCAGCAAAAAGACACACAACTCTAGAAATTCTCATTCCACTCTCTTCTTAGTCACGTATAGCCACAAAGAGAGAGACAAAAGAGAACCCAAAAACCCCAATTTGTACTTGACCTGCTGCTTCTTCTTCACAAACCGCACAACAATAAAATAGTCCGAACTGGAAAAAGAGGCAGTGTCAACTTAAAACCCTCAAAAGAAGGCAGACAGATGGCAACAAACTCCCAGAAGCTAGGAGAGGAGGCAGTGTCAACTACAAACCTCAGACGAAGCAGAATCATCCATAGACCTCAAGCAATAATGTTAGCCTACCTCCCCACCATCATCATCATCATCATCATCTCTATGATTTCTATCTTTCTTTTAACTAGTTGGTTTTAAAAGGAGTACCAAACACCAATCTACCACCAATCAATTAACAAGATGGTAATAACCATTGATAAACCAAAGAAATCAAAGTCAAATATTTGGTTCTTTACTCTTTATTTGCTCTTATTAGTAAGCTTTGTTATGCAAGCATATCATAACAAAAACACGCTTGATTTTCTTTCCGTGTTTTGCATTTACTTGTTTAAATTTTACTAGTCATTCCACCAAGTATAAAAGCTAAAACCAACAGCTAAGCTCATAGTAATAGAAAGTCAGATTTGACGAACTCCATTTTTGGAAGGTATTTTGAAATACCCATACTGTTTGAGGGCTTCCCTCTAATCTGAACCCATTTTTACTAAAACCACTCATAGCAAACATAATCTCACAGGCAAATTTCCAAATTATCAAACTCCCCAAAAGCAGCCATATACATCTCAAACACACATGTTTATAAACCCATTTCAAAAAGTAATTCAACCGAAATCCCTCATATCCAAAGTATACCAACCTAAAACTCATTTTGAGTTAACAATTAACATGAAAGACATAATCCACCCACCATAAACACAACACTGCCCATTTCCAGAGAACACCCCAAATCAAAACCCCTTGCATCGGTTTACAGAAAACCATACCTATAAATAACCCTAATATCTAAAACCCAGATTCTAAAGCTGACCCCAATATAATAAAAGCATCAAATATGCTTATCAATACTGAACTCATAATAATCAAACTTCCTTTTGAAAGGGAAACACCCTAAAAACTAAGTTGAGAAAGGGGAACATCACCAACTTCCTTCTTAGAGACCTAAAAAACTTCAATCGGCAAAACAAGGAATTAAAAAGCAAAAATAACTTACCCAAAGGCGAACCACTTACTATTACCTCCTTTTCCGCCGGCGAAACCTCCGGTTGCCTGCGGCAGCTTCAACACTTCTTCCCCTACATCAAAACCAAGAATCAAAAGGCAACCTTTCTAGAGCTCTCATCTCGGTCATGAGAAATAGCCATGATTGAGACCTAGAAAAAGCATAAAAACAATCCGAACCAAAAAGCAAATCAAAGAAAATAAAAATCATCATCGTAGCTTACCTTGTTTCTCCTTGACACCACCGCTGCTGTCGGGGAAATCTCGCCGACGGCGGGTCCATTTTCTTTTCGTCCGCCCGTCACGAACAAGGGCAGAAACCACAAAAAGAACAAAGTCAGAACCTTAAGTCGAAATACTAAAATCGACATGCAAACAAAAAAAACCATCTTGCCTTCGTGTCGTCCTGTTTCGTTGGGGAAACTCGCGTGTTCAATGCGTGCTGTTTTCAAGTAAGCACAAACACACAATTAGCAAAACCGTCAAATATTCGTCGCCGAATGTCGGCGCCGCTGATTTGTTCGATTAAAACAGAAATCAGGACGACCGTCAAATATCCGTTGCCGAATGTCGGCGCCGTTGATTTGATCGATTAAAACAGAAATCAGGACGACCGTCAAATATCCACCGCCAGCGTCGGCGATGTTGATTTGATCAATACACCTTTGACTTCTAATCAAACAACCGTTATTCGGTTCACCACCTCTCCAAACTACGTTCGAACGAGGGTGTTCTACGTTACGTTACCTCTACTCCTATGGAGGTTCCTCTGGAGAGCTCCGCAACTACGACTACGAGCTACGATCTACGACTCTGCAAAGGAGTTCTTTGACAGAGCGGTTCTACGAAACTAGAGAGAAAAAAGATAAATTCTGCGATGGTGCAGTTTGTGATTTGATTTTGCCCTCCCGAACTTCTCTCTCTTCCCAATCTTTATACTTCGCGCTTCTCCTCGTCGTAGTAACCGCCTTAGCGCCTTTGTCTCCCACGTCTTCACTCCTGTCAACCGTGCAGGTAACTTCCTCCTTGTTGCGTAACTCCCACGAGTGCGAAACCGCTTGAGCACGTGGCAACTTGGTCCAAAACGACACTGAGCCGAAATCCACCATTGCTGAACTCTCGTCACTGCGACGTTGTTTTTAATTAAACAACATCGTTTCAGTACCGCGACGGTGTCGACCTCCCACGATGTCGTTTTCGGCTAAAGCGACACCGTCTTAACTGATCCTTAAAATATTAATTAATTAAACCGGCCATCATTGTTGACACGCTGTCAAACTCTCACTTCGCGGCGCCGTTCTTAATTAAACAGCATCGTTTTCTATTTCTGCGATGCTTTTGAACTTTGCGATGCCGCTTTAAATTTAACGCTGTCGTTTTAACAACTGCGGCATCGTTTGGCCCACTCGCGGCATCGTCTTTAAATCCGCGGTGTCGTTCCTTCTTCTTGCGGCATCGTTTTCAACTAACGACACCGTGCTAAAAAGTCATTAAAAATATTACTTAACTAATCTGGCCATCACTAGTCCACGACCAACGACATCATTAGCGTCAAAACGGC